GTGATCCAGAACTGCAGGTTCCCCTCTTTATCGTGTTCACCCTCATCTACCTCATCACTCTGGTTGGAAACCTGGGGATAATAGTGTTGATTCTGTTGGACTCTCGTCTCCACACTCCCATGTACTTTTTCCTCAGTAACCTGTCTCTGGTGGACCTTTGTTACTCTACAGCTGTCACTCCCAAGGTCATGGCTGGATTACTTATAAGAGACAAGGTCATCTCCTACAGTGCGTGTGCTGCTCAGATGTTCTTTTTTGCAGCCTTTGCCACTGTGGAGAGTTACCTGTTGGCTTCAATGGCCTATGACCGCTATGCAGCAGTGTGCAAACCCCTCCATTACACCACCACCATGACGACAGGTGTGTGTGCACGTCTGGCCATAGGTTGCTACACCTGTGGTTTCCTGAATGCCTCTATCCACACTGGAGAAACGTTCAGACTCTCCTTTTGTATGTCCAATGTGATTCATCATTTTTTCTGTGATGTTCCTGCAGTCATGGTTCTTTCTTGCTCTGATAGACGTGTCAGTGAGCTGGTTCTTGTTTATGTAGTGGGCTTCAACAGCTTTTTTGCTCTCACGGTCATCTTGATTTCCTACATATTCATATTTATCACCATCCTAAAGATGCACTCATCTACAGGATATCAGAAGGCTTTATCTACCTGTGCTTCTCACCTCTCTGCAGTCTCCATCTTCTATGGGACACTCATTTTTATGTACTTACAGCCCAGTTCCAGCCATTCCATGGACACAGACAAAATGGCATCTGTGTTCTACACCATGGTCATCCCCATGCTGAACCCTGTGGTCTATAGCCTGAGGAACAAAGAGGTTAAGAATGCATTCATGAAGGTCGTTTCAGAGGCAAAATTATCTTTAAGATTGTGATTTTTTAACATTGTACAATGTACACTAATCTAGTTTCATTAAGACCACTGTGAAATTAAGTTTCTGGAGTGATATCTTTGCTTATTCAATGCCTCTTATCCTGAAGGAAAAGAACATATGTCTGGAAATGTAATAACCTGAACAAGAATGATTAAGATGTCTAAGTGCCTGGGTGCCTGGGTGGCTCAGGCATTAAGCATGTGACTTCTGCTTAGGTCATGATCTCAGGGTTCTTGAGTTGGAGTCCCAGATCGGGTGAGCTGGAGCCACGTCTTGGGTGAGCTTGAGCCCCACTTAAGTGAGCTCTGCTTCTCTTTCTCTGCCCTTTGCTCACTGGCTCCCCATCTCTCTCTGTCAAAAAAAAATCGCCTGGGGCCTACTTGTAAAAGCAGGTATTGATTTATTCATTTATTCTACATGAATTTGTTTCTACCACATCAATGCAGAAACACATAAAATAGGGACACAAATGAGACCATGAACAGAAGGGCACATATCCTTATGTGCCCATGAAGATACATACACATTGGAGTAGGGAATTTCCCAGAGTTAACTGGAATGTTGTTAGTTTTTAATAATAATAATTTAAATATTTAATTCATGTATTAGAATAGAAATTTATGTCCAATATTTTTATTTCGTTAGTTGAATGCTGTTCGAAGAGTCCTAACTTAAGAATAACCTTGAGAATATACTTAAAGTAATATGCTACTAAATGAGTGTATCTACCTTAAGGGGGCACAGCTTGTTTTCTGCTTTGCTGAAATATTTTTATCTCACTCAGTGTTTGTACTCCAAAGTTTGGGCACAATGATTTCCTGGATCCCATAATCAAGTGAATCATCTGAAACAATTCTATAATTTTTACTTTGAAGTGATGCCTCATTAAATGGGAAGTAACGTATCAAATAAATACTCTTTAGTAAATCATAAAAAGACATTAAATTTAAAATTATTTGAAGTGTTGGAACACCTGGGTGGCTCAATCGGTTCAGTGTCCAACTCTTGATATCGGCGCAGGTCATGATCCTGGGTCATGGGATCAAGCCCTTCATTGGGTTCCACACAGAATGTGGAGCCTGTTTGAAATTCTCTCTCTCTCTCTCTCTCTCTCTCTCTCTCAAAAAAATTATTTAAAGGTTAGTATCCCATTATATTTGAAAATTACTTCATATGTATGAAATATAATTAACTGAAATGATTCTAGATATCTACATAGAAATATATATGACAATATCTGTCAATAATAAAGATAATGTACATTCAATATGCTAGTATAATGCACAATATTTATGTTTTTAATTTTGATCCTCAGAAAGCTTTATACTATAAAAATCTACCCGCATAAATATGTACCCTCAACTGATTTGTTACCTCTAGATAATAAGAGGCTTTGATATTTCAGTATTTGTAAGACTGTGCTTGAATATACTAGCATTTTCATCCTACTATTTGGGGGCAGTGTAATATAACACAAACATTCACTTCTACGTTTATGGTAATATTTCTCCTGTCAAAAATATTATTACCTAAATTTTTATAATTATCTTAAATAATTGTTTCATTTTAGAAGTATTTTAGAGTTACAGAAAATTTTCAGAACAGTGCAGAATGTTCAATGTAACCTTGTGGCAATCTGAATAATGACTTGATCCACATCCTAATTTCTGGAATCTTCCAAGGTTACCTTATATGGCCTAAAAGGACTATGTAGAGTTGATTAACTTAAAGATTATATCCCATATTTTCTGTGTGGACCAGGAAGGAAATCCCACGTATAATTATAAGAAGTTTGACCACAGATAAAAGAGTAGACAATGTGACATTGGAAGTAGATGAAGTGATGTGACCACAAATCATGGATGACAACAGCCATCAGCAAATGGAAGAGGAGAGGCGCCTGGGTGGCTCAGTCGGTTAAGTGTCCAACTTCGGCTCAGGTCATGGTCTCATGGTCTGTGGGTTCGAGCCCCACGTTGGGCTCTGTGCTGACAGCTCAGAGCCTGGAGCCTGTTTCAGATTCTATGTCTCCCTCTCCCTTGACCCTTCGCTGTTCATGCTCTCTTTCTCTCTGTCTCAAAAATAAATAAATTAAAAAAAAATAAAAATAAAAAATAAATAAATAAATAAATAAATAAATAAATAAATAAATAAATAAGAAAATGGAAGAGGAGAGAAATGGATTTTGTCTTAGAGCCTATGGAGGGAGCGTGGCTCTTCTAATACACTGACTTTTGTCCAGAGAACCCAATTTGGACTTTTGGATTCTAGACTGTGAAGGAATTAATACGTGTTGCGTAAGCTTCTAGGTTTGTGGTCATTTGTTATAACAGCCATAGAAAATGAAGACAACTCTCACCTAGTCTCCTCTAAAAAGGAATTTTATATTACCATGGGGCATTTGTAACACTAGGAACCCAAGCTTTGTATATATTAATTTTACTCTGCCATGTAGGGTTTTAAGGGTTTTAACAAATGCAGAGCATTGTGTTCACTAGCACTGCACTATCACTTCTCAGCCTTTTGGCTAAGATCAAGTGTCATTACCAGCACTGTACCAGGGAGAATACATTATAATTCTAATATTTCCCTTTCCATTTCTGTTATAGACTGCCAGTCCCTACTCCTTCATCTGTGGAAATCACTGAGCTTTCCTCCATCCCTACGGTACATGAATGGAATCTCATGACGCAGAGACTTGGGAAGGAATAAATAAAAACTGTTTTTTGTTCACAGGTGACATGAATGCCTACGTAAAAAATAGGGAAAAATAGGAGAAAAGAACCCTCCCGGGACTAATAAGTGATTATAGAATGATTGTCGGATGCAAGGCTAATATACTAAATTTGATCACTTTCTTATATACTGAAATGAACAAACAGGAACTGAAATTAAAAACATGAGGCCTTTCCTATTAGCAGCCCCCAAATCAAATAGTTATAAATCTAACAAGATAACTAAATAAAAAACTACCAAACTTTAGGGCATCTGGGTGGCTCAGTCAGTTGACCAACCGACTCTTGATTTCAGCTCAGGTCATGATCTCACAGTTTGTGAGTATGAGCCCCGCAACCAGGCTCCATGCTGAAGACACCAAGACTGCTTGGATTCTCTCTCTCCCTCTCTCTCTGAGCCCCCACCCTGCTCATGCTCTCTCTCAAAATAAAGAAATAAACTTAAAAAAAAAAAACTACCAAACTGTGATGCTGATGTTGTTGTTTGTTAATATGGCAATGGACATAGCTATTTCTCTGATATATTTCAAAAGAGGTTAAAAAAATAATGTATTAAAAAAAACATTTAAGAGATTGGACCGGGTACTAAGGAAACTAATAGAAAATGGGAATTTTTTCCAAAAAGAAAAATCAGGGTCTTATAAAGAAATATACCCCATCACCAGGGTTGAGGGGCCTTCAAAATGTCGATTCCATAAGATTTCTTTTTTTTTTCCCAACATTTATTTATTTTTGGGACAGAGAGAGACAGAGCATGAACGGGGGAGGGGCAGAGAGAGAGGGAGACACAGAATCGGAAACAGGCTCCAGGCTCTGAGCCATCAGCCCAGAGCCTGACGCGGGGGTCGAGCTCACGGACCGTGAGATGGTGACCTGGCTGAAGTCGGACGCTTAACCGACTGCGCCACCCAGGCGCCCCGAAGATTTCTAAATTGAAATCTGTGCGCCTTCCATTACTATCTATTCTGAATGGGAGCTCCCTTTTTTCCCATTATCTTTACTCTAGTCCAATTTTATTTATTGGGAATGAATGTGGAAGAAGATAAGTTTTCCTTTTAGTGCATAAGTTACTAGGCAACAAGGAGCCACACAAGGACTGGGTGGAGAAGACCTTTTAACCTCTCAAATAGCCTGGACATTGTGCTTCTATATTAATTAGTTGGGATTTAGGTTGTCTCCCTGGTGGAGGTGAATAAGAAATTTTCTGTAGGAAAGGAAGTATAAGATGAATATTTGATGATCATAAGCATTACAATGGAAAAGACTGGTTAGTTATTTTCCCAAACTATTTCTTTTTTACTCCTGGAAAAAACATAGGCTCTGTTCCTCTGCCTTCATACAAATAATTTTGACCATATGTTTGTGTTCTTAGCCATGGAATGTGAGTACAGATCATACATGCTGCTTCCGAGTCTGGACCACGAAACTCTCCAGGTGATGTCCTGTTCATTCTTTTTCTTTGTCACCAGCTGGGTGGAGAGGATTCAGACCACAAGAGATGACAAAATTACTAATGGAAAGAATCAGGGTCAACTGAATCTCTGTAGAGATTCCCCCAGAACAACTAATGGAACAATATGCAAGCACGAAAGACATCTATGGTCATGTCACTGCTGTTTGCAGTTTGCTTGCTCGGCAGCTAGTAT